CGAGTCAAGTAAGAGACAGAGAGAGGAGAAAGAAGTAAAAAAGGGTGTCCCAAAAGTGAAAAGCAAAAAAAGTGAGAGCAACATATAAAAGTTAAATATTGTCAAGTTATGTAATAACGTGAGATAATCTGTTGGCCTGGCAAAACTAGGAACGCTTTAGAGAGAAAGAAAGTGAATCAGACAGGTAGGGGGTGTGTGTGTGTGTGTGTGTGTGTGTGTGTGTGTGTGCGCGCGCGCGCGTGCTTGGTGAGGCTGGGCAAGCCTCTCCTCTCAATCTGTCTGCCTGTCTGCCTTTTCTTTTCCTCATCAAGATTCACTCCTCTATGCGCTCCACTTCCTGGAGCAGCAGACACTCAGCCTGCCACTTGTCCTCTGTAACCTTTCCCTTCTTGCTCAGAGCAATTGCAGAGCTAAGGGCTTGGCTGTACCTTGTATTTGGCATGAAAAAAGTTATTCTCTCAGGGTTCTGTTTAATCCTTTCATGGTCGAAAGTACTAGTCATGATAATAACTATTACTTCCTGGCTGCCTTTTATTAGCCAGTCACTGTGCTAAAGTATGATTTGTTAGTGGTTCAGTGGTGGCATTCTTGCCTTCCAGTGGCAGACACATCATTCCTGGCCAGTGCGTAGTCACCATCCATCCATCAGTGGAGACTTGGTTGTTACTGTAAGAGTAAAGAGGTTTCAGAGGAGCTTCTAGACTAAGACTAGGGAGAAAGGTGTGGTTATCTCCTTTCAAAAATAAATCAGTGAAAGTCTTATGAATCACAACGGTCTGATACATAGCCAATCATGGGGCGGGGGGGGGGGGAGGGTGTTGGACTGAGCAGCATTTCATCCCATTATGTCTGGGGTGGCCATATGTGGGGGACTAACTCTGTGTGGACAAAATCAAGAAGGATTAGATGTTCTACACACATTGGTTCATCTGAGCCTCTCAACTACCCTCTGACATGCGTAATAATATTATCGCCATTTCAGAAATGAGAATAATGAGTCTTAAACAGAAATTCTCAATATCTATGATTTTACTACCTTACAGTGGGCAGAGAATGTTTCCAGATGAGCTGGGAATTTATGCTTAAATTTAAAGTTATGACATGATTCTGAAGGTGAAATGAAGCCAATGCTTGAGACTTTCGTTTTTACATGTAATTCAAGGCTGCTTACCAGAAAGTCCATAATTCTGTTATTAAAAGTAAAAAAAAAAAGAAAAAGAAAAAAGAGTAAGTACAAGTGGATTTTCACAAACTACGTATTAGCTAAGGGAATTCTGGTGGCCTAACAGTAGGGAGCTGTGTTGCCAACCTGAAGGCAAATAGTTCGGATCCACTAGCTGCTCCATAGGAGAAAGATAGAAAATCTTCTCCTGTGCAATTTACTGCCTAGGAATACCTATTAGAGGATCAGCTATGAGTTGGTTCTAATTTGATGGTTCATAACAACAATATTATCTCATTACTAGAGTTTATCAAACACTCTCATTCAATTGCTGGCAAACTCTGGGCCAGACACCCTTAGCTCATCTGGCAAGTCCGCTCCGCCAACCACCACTTGGGGCAAATAGAACAACAAGCACCTGGATCCCTCCATATCTGCTGCTCCTCAAGGTGCCAGAGGCTGAATGCAGCTGACGCTAAGCCTCCCAAGGCACTAGGCCTGGCGCGACCTTTAAGTATCTTCCCTCTGGAGAGAGCATGAGAGACACACGAGTGTTGAGGACTCTCCTTGGTAGGGTCGCTAAGAGTCACCTGTGACTCGACGGCACTTAACAACACCAACTCATTCAATATTCTTCTGGGAGGTCGGGAGGTTTGGTAAGGCTGAGTTGTTTTCCTTGTCCCTGCTTGTGTGTGCAGCAAACATAGGGAAGATTAACAACTCTAATTTTAGTAACTCTGCATTTTCATGTCATGAGAACAGAGAACTATGCTTCATGGCATAGTGTCAACAGTAGGCTTTGAGCACAGCAGAGATTATGAGGACCATGCAGGACTGGGCGAGGATTCAGTCTGTGGTGCATAGGATTACTGTGAGTCAGCGTCAACTTGATAGCACCTAACAAGAGCAACTCCATTCTCAGAAGTCATTGCCTTTGCCTTGTTTTAGTCCTCAATTTCTATAACTGTCTTCTTGCCTTTAATGATACGTTGCCGGTATTCCATCTTTACTGCTATTTACTTAATTTGTGTGTGGGCTCTCTGGTCACCCAGTTATGAGTTGTGAGGTATATTGGCACATGTTAGCCTGTTGTTTTCCAAGAACTAGATAGAAGAAATATGTCTATTTTATTAGACTAAATCATAGGAAGTTGTCATTATTTGACTATTCTTGACCTTAGATTAAACTGTATGAAATGTATTTTATTCAGCCGTTTTTGACCTATAAACATGGCAATTGTGTATGATTCAATCTAACAGTTCAAAAAATAAATTATTCATACCTTGTTTGCTAGGATGCATAATTCCCTCCAAATATGGTTGGGCAGTAAATCTTCTCTGGTGATATTTTGCCTCTGAATGTACATTATCTAAAAAAATTGCAAGATATAAGGCAACTCTAAGAATATTGCTAAATTATTTCACGTTTGTGTCTTTTTCTATGATTCAAAAATCTTAATTGTGAACTCATTTTCCTCCTTTATAAATATTCATCTATGCTCTTCTCTAATTCCCTGCTGCTTGATTTCTGTTCCACTCTGAGGTGGGAATGTTACGGATATGTTTTGGACAGTGAGGTCTGTTGTGCTATGTAAACAGGCCAAGGTTAAAGGAACTTGAAAAACAGTATTTTAAAGGTTAAGGAAGAGTTTCTTAGTTCCACATCTGCTAAGTGTGGATTCAGGATTCTTATTCACGTCTGCCTGACTCAAACATGGAAGATGCAGGTGCATATTTTGGTAAATGACATCATCTACAGCCAGAAGAAGGAACTTTAGCATTTCTTAACATATCTAAAGGGAAATTAGGAAATCTAGCATTTATTGAATACAAGAAGAATTGATGCTTTTGAGTTGTGATACTGGAGAAGAGAAATAAATATCCCATGAGTGCCAAAGAATAAGCAAATATCTCTTGGAGAGGGGAAATCTAGGGTACTCCTTAGCGGGAAGGACGGTGTAACTGTCTCATGTACTTTGGGCATGTTGTTAGGAGGGAAAAGTCCTCGGGAAAGGACATTGTTCTTGGAAAAGCGCAGGGTCCATGAAGGAGGGTAAGATCCTCAGAGAGATGGATTGACACAATGGCTGTAACAATGGAATAAAACGTGACAGAGATGGTGAGGATGGATGTTGGTACAGGATAGGGCAAAGTCCCCATCTGTTGTTCATAGAATCACTATGAGTCATAGTTGACTCAACAGCACTTAACAATACAACAACTTACACTAGGTCTCAAATGGTTAAGCATTTAACTACTAGATGAAAGGTTGGAGGTTTGAAGCTACTCAAGAGAGGCACCTTGTACCTGCAAAGAGGACTGGGGAAGGGGAAAAGACAGGGAAGGAGGAAAATGTGCAACAATGAATGAAAATTTTTTAAAAAACCATGAAGGAAAAAATATGCACCTTAGTAGACAGGCCTGACAATCTGCTTCTGACAGGTCAAGGCCCAGAAAACTGGAATGAGTGATTGCATTCTGCACACACGGAATTGCCATTCATTAGAACAGATTCAATGGCAACTAACAACAGCAACTATGCCATGAACCAGTCCCTGTGATTGGCATATTAGATCAAACCTCAATTAATATCCACATCACACTTTATGAGGTTAGTATCACCAATTCATACATGAAGAAGTAGAGAAATGGGTTTCACAAGGATTGAAAACTAGTGCAATATTGCAGAGCCAGTGGGAAGGGAATGCAAGCAGATAACAAACTCCAAAATCCATTTGGTTATTCACCGCACTGTCTTCTTACCCCTTCTTTCCTCCCCTTCTACTGAATTTCTCATCTAACCCTGCTGAATCGAGCAAGTAAACGACTCTGGAAGCTGTCTCCTGTCCACCAACTTCACTTCCAGTGCTCAAACACCATCTCCCATGGGGACAAATGCTACAGCCTTCTGTGCATGTCTAGTCCTTTCTTACCATCTTCCATCTGGCCTCCATCTGGCTCCCAGCACCTCCATCCTGTACACAGATTAAATACTGTGCCACCTTTTCAGCGAGGCAGCAGTACTTGCAGATGATACATCACATGATCCAACTTTCAGGTTACCATCCTGGCCATCGCTGCCAACACTCCCAACTGTTAACACTGCCAGTGGCTCTGGCCACTCCCCACTCGCTCCAACGCTCATAATCCTTCCAAGCCAATTCAGGGGGTTTTGTGCATTCGCTACTTAAGACACCCAGAGGGATTTTTCCAACTGATGTTTTGTTTGGTTTGGTTTTTTTTCCTTCTTTGCTGACACAGACGTGGCCACCCCTGGGAAAGTCACCCAGACTCTCCTGGAGGAACAGTTTATGGTTCCTCTTCTTTATATCCAGAGGACTTTGTACACATTTTTCACTGAACAGTTTCTGTTGAATAATAGCTAGTTGTTAAAGTGTCTAATCTATCTTTTCCATGTGCTAATGAGCCCCCGGGGGATAAAGATCATGTTGCATTTGTCTTTGGATCACCCAAATTCAAAAGTGTGTCAGGCATAAGGTCAGTACTCAATAAATGTTCATTACATGAACAAATACCTCCATATCCTCTTGTGCACATAAAAGCATAGAGAGAAGCTGGATGGTGCAGTAGATTAAAAGCTGAACTGTGAGTGAGGCTGCCTGAATTCTAGTCCAGCGTTGACGGTCTGTTGGCTATGTCAGCAAGGGAACGATTATGTAGGATCTCAGCTTCTTTGAATGCAAAGGGAGAGGACTTCTGAGTTCCTTTCCAAGGTCACATCTGATGATATAAAAGATCTGATGGCTCACACCTAAACATATCCTTTTTTTTTTCTCTCAACAGAAGGAGAACACCTCACACATCTTGTCAAGCTGGCCATGGCTCATAAGCAAGAACTTCTTGATGAAGCCTCCATTGTGAAATTTAAGGACCAGGACTTTAAATACTTACGAGATCGTTGCTTGAGCAGAGGCCAACTGTTTGAAGATGAGACATTCCCTGCTGTGGCTTCCTCTGTAGGCCACCAGCTGCTTCAGGAGAAAGGCCTTCACAGCCTACAGTGGAAGCGTCCATGGGTGAGTTAGCCCCCAAGGAACACAAACAGCCTGTCATGGCGCCTCCTTCTGGAAAAAAGATGGGTTGACACTTGTCACTCAAGAATGGCCTGAACCAAATGAATGTTGTGTTCATCAGGTCTGTGGAGTCGAATACAACCCACAGCAGCCCTGTGAACATCAAATCGGAACCCTGTCCTATCCTGAGCCATCCTCTTCATCTCTGACATACTTGAACCCATTGCCACAGTCACCATGTCAATCCATCACATGTCTTTCTCTCTTTCATTGACTCTCCACTTTTCCAAGAATGATATCCCTTTCCAAGGACATTACACATGAACCAAACTTACAGGAGAATGAAATTCATCTTTGTCTTTACAACAGTATTATGCCTACTCAGTAGGATAAAAAGACTGTACTAGGAACCAGGAGTTATGGGTTCTCTGCCCTGTCCTAAAAGTGAGTGAGCTGCTAGATTAAATGTCAGGGGTTTCTCATCTGGGAAAAAATGAGAAATCATGAGGATAAAGATTATAGACGTTAATCTTTAGGGTCCCTTTCAGTTCCACAATTGAGTCAATTTGTCAGTTCTCCTTGTCCCTTTTCTCCTATTTGGATGTCATTGTCTTAATTTGCATTCTTTTCTCCTTTCCTGTTACAATTTACTCAAAGGGAAAAGATCATGTCAATCATTTATGCTACAAAGTGAGTTTAAATAATTGCTTTCCCTCTCTAAGCTGTATTTGTGTTCTCAATCTTATAAAGATTTGATCGTCTATAAAAGAATTTCCAACATCAGCTATAAAATTAGCAAAGAATCACAGGTCAACATTTAAACCTTCCTTACTCCTACACCCCACTAACTACCATTTCCAGAAAGGTAAGCCCTGCTGATTCTTTTAGTGCTACCTCAACATGGAAAGGAGCAGTTCTGCTAACCCAAAGGCACAAGGTTCAAATCTACCAGCTTCTTCTCAAGAGAAAGACAAGCTACCTCCTCCCTTGTGATTTACTGGTTCTGAAAACTTGCTGGAGGGTTATCTGTGAGTTGATCCTGGACTGGACCGTCCATAACAATATAACAACAACAATCCCAAAGATTAAGTACTTGGCTGCTAAGTGAAAGTTTGGTGGTTCAAACTCACTTGGGAGTTCAGGAGAGAAAGACTTATTGATTTGCTCCCATAAAGATCATAGCCTAGAAACTTCCATGGGACAGTTCTACTCTGCTCTTTCATAGGGTCACTCTGAGTTGAAAATGTATAGACAGCACCTGAAAATATAATAACAATAAGCTCTAAGAAAAATCACTCAGCTCATTCAACATTTTCATAATCTCATCAGGCTGTTCTTGATGTGAGGGACACATCCTACTTATGCCTTCCCAAAACTGCAGTGGATTTCTAGAGCAAAAGAAGGTTTTATAAGGTCTAGAATGCCAATGGCAATGATATCATTTTTGTAAGCATTGATTAAATGCCAAATATGCTCTATTAAGTGTTTGCCATAAAGCCGTGTCAAGGTATTCAGAAATATCATCTCATGATACATGCTAAGAGCTTATATGTTCATTTTATAGCCAAATTACTTCATGTATTGTTAGTGTAGTTGTGTATCATCAAGTTGGAACCAAAGCATAGCTAACCCCATTGGTGGGTTTTCAGAAGCAGTTATTCGCATGGGAGGAGGCTTCCCATCTTTCTCCAGCAGAGCAGCTGATAGATTTGAACCGTGTATCCTAAAGAAATAAAAGCTGGGACATGAACAGATACACAGATACTCAAATTTGTTGCAGCATAATTCACAACAGCAAAGAGTTAAAAACAACCTAAGTGCCCATCAATAAGGGAATGAATAAAGAAATTACGGTACATTCCCACAATGAAATACTATGTAGCAATGAAAACAATGAAGAATTCATAAAATATTACACAATAAGGATGACTCTAAGGGATATTATGCTGAGTGAAATGAATTTATCACAAAAGGACAAATATAAGACCATTATTATAAAGGGTGAGCAATCTCCTTTCTTGTAATAATTGCATCTGAAAACCCACTGGAAAGTTAGGATGAGTTGGTTCCAGCTCCATAGAACACAACAACAACAATAAAATAAAAAGCTAAGAAGAGATTTATATAAGCAGATGGTATCATATTATAATCAGTATCAGTGGCAAAGTTTAACAGGACAGCAAGTAATAAATGTTGGAGAGGATGTGGCGAGGTAGGAATTCTTATACATTGTTGGTGCGATTGCAAAATGGTACAAGCACTCTGGAAGGCAGTTTGGCGTTTCCTCAAAAAGCTGAACATAGAAATTCCATATGACCTAGCTATTCCCCTGCTTGGAATACACCCCGAGAAAATAAGAACTAAGGCACAAATAGAAACTTGTACACCAATGTTCACAGCAGGGTTATTCATCATGACAAGAACATGGAAACGGCCCAGATGTCCAACCACAATTGAATGGGTTGACAAATTATGGTACATTCATACAATGGAATACTAAACAGGACTTAAGAGCAATGATTTTGTAAATCATTACCTATCTTAGAAGGGGCTGGAGGGCATTATGCTGAGTGAACTAACTCAGTCCCACAAAGACAAATATTGTGCTAAATCATTGTTGTAGAATAAGTAGGAGGATCCAAGGGGGAGGGGGATGGAAACAGAGGGATGAGGATGTGTGAAGCAGGGAGTAGGATTAATCATGGGGTTGTACAATTTGATGGTTGGGGGATGAGAGAAATTGAAAAAAAATGGTATTGTTGAAAAACAATGTATTCAAATTTTCTAAATAAACTAGTATAATAACAAAAAATAGATTTCTATACAGAGAGAACTGCACTAGTATGGTTGCTGGAGGGAGAAAGTAGAAAATTAACAAATAGATTAAAATTTCTTTAATTTTTTTTTCATTTTATCCTGGTTTACATACAAGCGAAGAGAATGACAATATGAAATGAATGGTTGGCCAGACGCTGTGGCTATTACAATTAATGTTATGGAACAAGATGTGCATGATTGAAGAAACAGTATACTTTGTAAATTCTCATTCAAGTCACAATAAAAAAATAGGAAAATATCATAGCTCATATCCAGCTTATTGTAGTGAGGAAAGGGGGAAAAGAACCATGGCTATGACATTATTGCTTTTAAAAAACAACTGTTTAAGCTGTAAACATGTCATTCCACTCTGCCTACGAGAAGGGGTACCCAAGGCGTCTAGCTCTGGAGGTGATTTAAATGGGAAAGACTTTTAACTTTGTGAAAGACAAAAGGAGGCTAAATGGGGACAAATGGGACTTCAAAGTCTGCTTGAAGAAAATCGGAGGGGGGGGGGTGATATGGCCTTCTAGGCTCTACCAGCTAAAGGCAGAACGTGGCTCACATGCCTCTCTCCTTCTCATCCCTACCTCCTAAGGACAGTAGAATCAGAGAATCTGTTTTAAAAAGTTCTGAAGTGTCATATCTTTTCTCTTTGTTATTTTCAAAAGCTCAGACAGATGGAGAAGAGATTGAGATTGTTAACAACGTTAGCTTACTCGGATTTACAATTAACACTTGACACTGTTGTTATTGTTGTTGTTGTTGTTAAGAACTGTCCCCTCATAGACGACTCATAGCGACCCTACAAACGAAAGACCTGAACACTTATATAACTTATATCATTTCTTCAGGTTCAAAGGGTTTCCAGAGGCAAGCTATTTCGGCAGTGGATGCCACTCCTGCTTCCAAGCTTGTTTTAACTGGGAAGCTCCACCAAACACTGTCCACTATGGGTAACAATTATAGCATTTGACATGTCAGTGTCACAGTATTTAGCATCACAGCAATCGCTAGTTACTTCTGTACAGCAAATGGACAAGCCAGTGCTATATTACTTAAAGGAATATTTTAGCAGTCAGGAAATCAAAAGATGAATTTGATTAGGAAAGTCTGCTGTCCAGAGTGCTGAAGAGCAAAGATGTCAGTCCAGAGAGTAAGGTGCACCTGATCCAGGCCATGGTCTTTGCAATTACTTGCTATGCATCAGAGAGCTGGGCAATGACCAAAAATGGCAAAAGAATTGATGCCTTTAAGTTGTGGTGCTAGAGAAGAGTATTAAATACACCATGGACTGCCAAGAGATCAAACAGGTTTGTCCTAGAGACAGTGAAATCAAGTTGCCCTTTGAAAGCAAGAATTTTGAAGCTCTACCTCACATACTTTGGACGTGTTCCCAAAAGGGATCAATCCTTGGAGGAGGAGATTACGCTTGGAAAGGTGGAGGGACAACACAGAAGAGGAAGACCCTGGATGAAATGGATTGACACAGTAACTGAGGTAATAGGGGTAAGTGTATCAGAGACGGTGAGACTGGCTCAGGATAGGACAAGTTCAGAGTTTTTGTGCATAGGGTCACCATGAGTTGCAGGTGGCTCGAGGGCACATAACAGCCACATAACTCTTTTAGAGTGTGATTTTTATTCCTCAACAGGTGCTGGGAAATACGTGTAAGGTGGTAAATATAGTGTGGTAGAAGTCACAACATTCCTATTTAGAAATGGTTGAGAGGGTTTTTTTGTTTTATTTTATTGGGCAGAGGCTATTTTAATATTCATTCCAGCAACATCTCAACTTGTCTTTTGGGGGACAAGGGAAAACTGAAGCAAACAGAAGGTAAATGATTCCCCTAGACCCATGCCAAACACCCAGAATGGTGGCAGGTGAGACCAAATACATTTGACTCCCATTTCTTTCATTCCTACACTTCTTTCAAAATGTTTTATATGGACATATCCTATTTCTCTGTGCCCTTTAACTGGCAGCACTTATATTTGAATAGTATTTTCAGAACTTACATTGTGCCTTCTCCTACTTTGTTTGCTTTCTTTTTTGACAATTTTAAAGGAACATTGACTGAGGTTGAGGTAGATCATGTGACTTGCTCGAGGTGGCTCAGTTAGTGAGAGGAGAGTTTAGGATTTAAATTAAGCTTCGTGTGTTCTACATACGACTTTAGTAAGTGG